AAGAGCAGGAAGAAAAATACAGACAAAAACAAAAGATGTATTTTGACAAACGTCATGCTGCGAGACCTCTTCCCTGTCTATCCGCAGGCACTCAAGTATGGCTCAAAGACAGAGGCGCCGAGGGCACGGTCCTTCGTCCTTCTGAAACACCTGAGATCTTACTGGGTCTAAACTGAAGGAAAAACCGTACGCAGAAACAGGCGCCATTTCTTCCTTCTCCCACACGGAGGAGAAACAAGCCATGTAAGGATGGAGCAGCATCCACAAAACAGCGAGCCAACGGACGCGACGGACAAAGACATCGTAGCTACCAAGTCGTCTGACATCCAAGAGCCTCGTTCATCGAACAAAACTTCAAGTCCTGAGCAAAGAACGACGTGATATGGGCGCGTCATACGAGCTCCGAAAAGACTTGGTATTGATGATTAATTTCTGAAAATGCTTCCTTTTTTGGCAGGTCCACGATGCTTATAAAACGGGGAAGATGTGACGTCATCCTGCTGCATTCCGTGGCCGCCTGCTCCAGAGACAAGCGCCAAGACACGCGCTATCTTGGTTTCCTTTATCCAATTATCACGGGAGTCATGTGATCATTCTGACTGTATATATTTCACGACGAAACATTAAAGAGGATTTTTTTTTCTTGGTCACGATGTAACGAGCGTCTGTCGGTCACTCTGACGAGCTTGACAGTATTGACATTTTCAATATATCTGTTCGCACAGTGCTTCATTGGAGTCATGCAAGCTTAAAATATGGTGCTCCCACAGAGAAATTTTTCTTCCTGTGCTGTGACGAACGGGAAAACTACGTAGACAATAACGAAAAGAGATCACAACTAGGCTTAGCTGTGTGATGTCTGCCTCAATAAAAATGTAATAAATTAATGCAAGTGTGCTTATATCACCATGGTGTAGCCAGTTTGTTACTACATTTGATATGAACCTCTGCTCGCTCCACCATGGTGTTCCTAAGGGTGTACACAGTCTTACCTCTGAGACAGCATTGCCAGAACTAATTTCACTGTCACAATCTTGAACAGGTGTGCAACAAGCATGCGGCAGCACAGAGAACACAAGAGAAGTGGTCACTGCTTACATGTTCAAGGTCGTATGCATGCACACCGGACTATGATTTTGCAGTGTCTTACATTTTGAGTGGAGTATACATCATGATGGCAGGAGCCATCTCTGTGGTCACCAGCTAGACTGTCACAATGTGCATATTGTTGCTTGAGACAACTGTTTAAGACAAAAAAGGGGCACTGCAGAAAAAATATTTTTAGGCTAATGTAAGGGCTTGTGGTGAGGAGACTCTCAAAAGGTATATGGTGTGTCACCTTGCAATAGAGAAGCAACATTTATACCTAGTTTATATTAGTAGGAGTCTGCTAAAGATTGGCCATACAAGCTTGTGGCTAGAGAAGGATGATGTCCAGAAGATACCCTCCTGAAATGTTAACCTGCACCCTCCTCCCTTGCCCTTCTTGGTGCACTGGAATTTTTGCCCTATAGGTACTAATTCCTTCAGTGGGTACTCTTGAAGGGCTTCTGAATAAGCTCACTCTTACCACCTGCTTTACTCAAGGGCAAATCCTACTGTTAGAACTTGTTTGCTTGGCAGAAGTTTTTAACAGGAAAAGAAGCTTCACTCGTTACACAAATAAAGCTACAGCATTGCAAGATTACTATGATGTTATGTACACAGACCTCCCACATATAACTCACTAAAATGTCACCACTTACCTCTATGGTGAGCCTGATTATGCCTTAAGACAGCATCTAAGTTTCTTGATCCTATACTTTTTAATCAGTACATGAACCTTGAAAAAACAAGATTGTCACGTGAAGTGCATAAAACCAGTGCTTATGAACTGCAGTGATGCCATCGGAAGCATCAGCAAAAGTAAATTCACCCTGCTAGAAAGCAAATTCTGCGTGAAGCCTGTAAATGTACTGTTAACAAAGTCTTCTTGACAACATAATTACTTCTAATTCTGCAATTTGCATAATCCTGTCTCATGCATACCTTGCTGTCAACCCAAAAATTATTGACCTATGAGGTGTTACTCATGTGACCATGCTCATTTAACATACCTGCAAGCCTCGGAGCTAACATAATAAAATTGAAGACTTTAATAAATTAATGCTCTCTGCTACTCACCCCTTCAAAAAAATTTTTAGCATCCCCTTCAAACATGTTTTTTTAAAGACTCAACAGGCACAGTGAAGTGACTCATGAAAGGCATATCCAGAGCTTGTGGTGCAACTAAAATCTTTTTGGAGCAGCATAAAAGCCGCCTGAAGCTTTTAAGCTAGAGCTGTTGCGCCACATGTTACAGGGAACTAGTTCATGAACATATGCATGCATGTTCACTTGGACTTCTGCTCAACATAAACGTAGGCTTTTTGCTTTTTTGCAGACATCCCCAATTTATATCAAGCTACCTAGCGCTTTCCGGGAATTCACATGGCATTTGTAAATGACTCTGGCTTTCAGTGATAGTTTAGCTACAATATTAAAGCACAGGTAAGACTATTTATGCATTGTATTTACTTTCCAAAAAAAAAGAGTCTGATCATATTAATGCTTTTATTAGTACAACCTAATCGTTCAATGTGTGGAGAAGTGGTTGCTGTCATCGTTTATGTACAGAATTGTTAGGTTCCTGATTATTGAGCGCTTCATAAAAAAAGGGTTTGCCAATTATTTATTATGGCTCAACAAAATTTAGAGTTATGGGGGAGTAAGTAGTTACACTTGGCAAACTGTTTGACATGTACAGTCGTTGGGAAGCCCAGCCGAGACATACCGGAATAGCGAAACACCATGCTTTCTAGGAGAAGTAACAGTGATTGTACAGCATGCCGTACTGCTGATGAAATATGCCCACTGTATGGACTTAAAACTTAACCACCTTGTATGGAATATTTTGAAAGTAACTGTAATAAATAGGACTACAAATAAAAAAAAATAACTAAGTGGTCAGCTCTATATGCAGGTACTAAATTACTGTATTTTAATACAGTAAAGCAAGACTGTTGTCCAAGCACAACTAGCTCATTGTTACTTTTATCTGACAGTAACCACAACAGTTAGAAACTATTTGGCTGAAGTCACGTGGTAACTTTTGTAGTATAAGCGGGTTCAAATTGTTAAGAAAGTTGGTGCCCAGCAACGTTTTCAACTACATTGCACGTTCATGTCCACTGTGATTACATCTCCAATTCGCAGGGGTAACGTATGGATTTCAAGCGTATGCCATATACTTGCTCCCTGAGAGAACACAACAACGAAGAGTGCACGCATGCTTGACACAAATAATGAAATTTTTGAAAAAGATGTAGCAGGTTTCGTCTCTTGGTGCAGATCCCTGCAGGCACTTACCTAATTACCACCCCATTTTGCCAACAAGCAGCCCATGTAAGACGTTCGAACATGCGCTATTATGTCGGGTCAAAACCAGTTTCTTCTAATCACCTTGCACTTAGGTCTGGCACGACATAGGTTTCAAAGATTTATTTCTTGCAAACTGTGTGTGTAATTGTAGACCATTCTTTAACAGTTATTTTCGTGCTTACCCGATAGGAAAACATGAGCTACAAATTTTCTAAGTTTCTAAAATATGAATGGTAATTAAATTGTGAATGGTAATCTACACCCAGCCTTAGTATATGTTTCCTTTATAATCATTTTCAATTTGAGGCATGGCACAAATTTTGAAGTACGACTGGAGCCTCTCATATGCATGTTTCGTTTATTTGAAGGTGCCATTTAACAATCTTGAATTAATCCTGCAATGAACTAAAATCTGAATGCCTTGCGAATTGCCTGCCACAAAATGTATTTTACTAGGTAAATTGTTCTGGGCTTGTTACACAAGCTGAAGATGATGACTATACTGACTGCCGCATCGTCACTGATGAGGCAGAGGATAGCGCGTGTACTATTTAGGTGCACACACGAGGCCCAATGTCAGTGATACATTTCTAATTTACACACGAGCGCGCGCAATATGTATGCTTTACCACAATACACAGCGTGCCCTTCACTGCAAGACACGACTGCCTTGCGGCACTGTTTAATTTTAAGAAGACGCTTAAGGTGGCAATTTTGACCGAATATTTATAGTGCTCCCAGCATATCTTCAATTTAATTTTTTTCTTTGTATACACTCACAAGAACAGACATAGCTTAGAAAACCGATTATCGTAATCGGCGACAGCACATTTAAGCCACTTGGAAAATAACGTCGTGTAAACGCAAGGTAATACTCCATCGCTTCCAACTTGTGCATTTTGTATCTGTCTCACGCAGTTACGCAAGAAGAAGCTTCAATGAAAGTTTTGGCGCAAGCATACACTTCACCCAAGCGACACATCGATCCTTACGCTACACACGCACTTACCAGACATGCACGTACGGCATACATCCACAAATAGCATAACACACGGTGTTCATGATCGGGCAAGTCGTTACCACATTGCTTACAGACAGTATTACAGAACGAGACCACGTATCCATGCGCAGAGGCGGTTCTCGCGAATGCATACAACCATAGAGAAAGAACAAACAAACCTTTATTTCTCTATGATACAACTCCCGCTCAAGCAAAGACCACGGATAAACAACCACCGCACGGTAAAGATCCTCACAAGTTAGTGAGGAATCTTAGACCTTTCGTTCCCACCAACTAAACGTCCCAAAAAAATGTCCAACACGGCGATTCTGTCGCCGTCTATTCAGACATTTTCAGCCAAATCAAGCCAGTTTTAAGCGGCTATTGGGGGAACCGAACGTTTTGGTATGGTGGCCACCATAGTTTTGGCCCTCAAAAGGTTCGTGCCACCCGGTGGCAGCAGACGCGGCCATTTTAACAATGAAAAGTTTTATTTTTTAGGATTATGTTTTCTTATAACGCGTAAGTGTTAATTCACAGTGTTTGCACAATAAATAAACTTAGTAAGCATAAGCGGCAGTACAAGCGTGTGCAAGTAACAATGAGTGCAGTAACTAATGTTTTTCTCTTGTTTCGGTTCGAGATTGCAGAAGCAGCCGATGTCTCGGTTGCTGGCGGAAAATTTGTAACGAGTTGGTTAGCCTGATTGCAGTCGGAGTGTGTGCTCTAGTTGTCCGTGTGCGCGTCGCTGACACCAGCAGCGTGTTCGTGTTACCATTGCAGTCATCCCGCAGTTGTTGCACACCAGACATGGCCGTGGCGTGAGTACTTTCCGCGCAGAGATTTTCCTCCTACCGTGAGCGCCGTTCCGTCGTGTCGTGTTTCCTTCTTTGCGCTTGACGCTTCTTCGTGTTTCAGCTGACACCTTCGCTTCCACTGATTGCGCAAAAAGCTTGTAAAGTAGCGTTAGATATTCATACGACGGACAAAATCGCGATTCGAGCCCGCGGTTTGCGTACTACGCCAACATAGTCAGCTGCTCCCGCGTCCCCGCCTCGGTCCGCGCGGAGGCCGAAATCACTGGATTCACCCTTGTCGTCTGAATGCTAGCTGTGGAGGGATTCGTCATATGCCGCCCGCGATCACGTCCGTCGTGTGAATAACAGTTAGTTCAGCCTCGTTGCTTGTCGATATAGTTTACTGGAATCATTATAAGTTGCTAGTATTGCCTTCCAGGGTTCATCGTATTTTTTCTGCTGTCAAGGACAGAGTAATCACAAAACAGCCTGACACAGTCGTATCGAACCGACAATGCTCGCTTAGCGAGATATCCTCGCGGGCCGGTCAGAGGTCGCAGTGCTAACGCGACCGAGCGTTTTCGTTGTCACGGGCATTTTTACTAGGCGGTCTTTTTATTCCGCAAAGCTATGAGTGCGTACTCGGACAAAAAATCACCTCAAGGGGATAAAGAAGTGTACCAACGTGCGCGTTAGTTGCTTATATATTCGTCACTCTTGTTCCTTTTGCTCATCAATTGATGACGATGAACGTTATCGAGAAAAACGGGTAGAACGCGGGGGAAAAATGTATGATCTGCACGGATCACTGCGCAAGTATAATGGTAGAAAAACCATTGAGTTATTCTACGCGGGCCACACATGATTATGTCATGAACGCTGTTACGCGGGACTTTGCACCACCAATGTTTATATAAGGCCCGCCGTTTTAGCGTTACGGCTTCCGAAATGCGACCGTAGTGCATTGTCGACGACTTCCAAGGCCGCTGTTCTGGCGACGTTCTACGGGACGGCCGCATGCTTCGACGACTACATAATTGCGGCAAACTTTGCTGCTACCATTTACTTTTTAGGTGCACATGTATCGTAACAATATGTGAGGGGGTACATACAGGGACTCTGAAAACCATAAAGCAGCTGTTTGTGAAACTGCAGTACAATAAATTAGTGCACTCTTACCGCTAAGTTTACAAAATACACTGATGATGTATAGTCAGTGGCGTAGCCATGATATTATTTCTGGTTCAATATGTGCATGTATGTGCATACGTGTATCAAGACTGAAAAAAAAAAAAAAGCTACCTCGACTCTATGCTGGTCCAACATGCATGGCCGACCTAGCCCTTCATGGCCAAAGCTTGGCCAACAAGGCCCCGCCGCGGTGGTCTAGTGGCTAAGGTACTCGGCTGCTGACCCGCAGGTCGCGGGTTCAAATCCCGGCTGCGGCGGCTGCATTTCCGATGGAGGCGGAAATGTCGAGGCCCGTGTGCTCAGATTTGGGTGCACGTTAAAGAACCCCAGGTGGTCAAAATTTCCGGAGCCCTCCACTACGGCGTCTCTCATAATCATATGGTGGTTTTGGGACGTTAAACCCCACAAATCAATCAATTGGCCAACAAGGTTGGGCCGAGGATGTTTTTGGTTAATGGTCTCACACGGGCCGGCCTTCGGCTCCCAACACAGGCCGTAGGCCGACTTTGTAGATGGCAAGTGGTGTACAGATGGATTAAATAATCTAGTGACAGCTGACGCGGAGCACTCAATCTATAGATTTACGCCGACCGAAAAAGAATGCACGCAATGTAGAAAAGAAAATCGCACCCAAAAACATCGTGCAGTGTCGGTCCATATAGTTACTGGCCAACGTGGTAGGTAGGAAAGCAAGGCCCTACAATGAACCACGTTTGGTCGTCCGGGCATCGGATGAACGTTTGCGGCCAAGTAACCAGCGAAATCGGTTGCCAATCAGGGCCCCACTTTGTGCCATCATTGGTAACCTTTGTTTACCAACCATCGTCGGGCGTCGTCGAATTTCAGCTGGATATATATGTGCTGACAGAAATGATATATATATATATAATAATGAGATCTAACAGACAGCACGTTGTTGAAAGCAGTGCAGACAGGTGCCTTTTTAATATGCGCCTTATTCACATTTGGATGAAAATGCAAATACTTTTCAGTTGCAAATATAGTAATGACTAATAACTGTCAGTAACGAAAAATACAGTTGTGATTCCAACACTATATTGGGAACAATATAGAGTATGTTTAATTTGCATAACGCCGCTCCTATTTTTTTTAATTGTGCTACAGTGGGACACCCTACACGCACATGCACACACACGCACATTGTCATGTGGTTACGAATAAAACACAACAGCTATTCACAGGAGCACTGGACGTCAAGCCAAACCAATCACCAGAGACACGGGCTCATCATTTAGTCTTGTTGTCTTTGTCCTCTGTAATTTCTCACCGAGGCACATACACATAGTGGCATAGCCCAATCTTGTTCCGTGCCCGTAACATTACCCCCTTCCAAAAACAGACGGACGGATGCATGGACACTCAGACAGACGGATCGCCCCACTCATCATCATTCACTCCGTGGATATGCTCTGATTTCTCTCCCTCTTCCCAACGTCTTCACCCCCGCCGCGGTGGTCTAGTGGCTAAGGTACTCAGCTGCTGACCCACAGGTCACGGGATCGAATCGCGGCTGCATTTCCGATAGAGGTGGAAATGCTGTAGGCCCGTGTGCTCAGATTTGGGTGCACGTTAAAGAACCCCAGGTGGTCGAAATCTCCGGAGACCCTCCACTACGGCGTCTCTCATAATCATATGGTGGTTTGGGGACGTTAAACCCCACATATCATCATCATCATCAACGCAATCACCTGATTGCGCATCAACGCATCACATGATAAGCGGGAGAGGAGAGGATAAGTGGGAGGGCATCACATGATATGCCGGGTAGTACCCAGTCCCTCACAAAGGCCGGAACGCGGTAGCGCATGAGCGCGTGTTCTGGCAGTGAGGGCCTGGACCAGCTGTTGCGCGTGCGCAGTAAGGGTGGTCCAGATTGAGCTTCGCCATAAGCTGTTTCGCATTTAAAAAAAGCTTCAGCAATCTCCTTAGTCCTCGTTTCAGGATGAGCGTACAAAACAGAGGTGCTGGGAAATTCTGGTGCGCTACCGCACTTTGCGCAATGGGCGGACAAGTGAAAAAATTGGCAGCATATCCTCGGAGTGAATGATGGAGAGTGGGGCGAAGCATTTGTCCGTCCATGTGTCCGTCTGTGTGACCGTTCATGCGTCCATCTGCCTGTCCGTGCGTGCGTCTGTTCGTGCATTTGTCTCTGCGTTCGTCCATGCGTCCATCCATGCATCTGTCTGTGTGTCCACTCGTCCATCTATTTAACGCTCCAAGTACCATCATCTCGCATCTTTTCATCATATATTCCCCATATAGAAGCACCGCCATTCAGCGGACATTCCAAGGACTAAACGAGAGGTGGCACACGCACACTTTCTTAGGGCTTGCGCTTCGGGTCTACTTCCTACCTTTAACCACCTTGAGTTCATGGTATGTACTAGTTCACTGTATTCATGGCACTGCGGCCCAACGCTCGCTAAACCTTTCTAAAACCAAGGAGGTTACACCCAGCGAATATAACGTAGCAACGTTTTCCTGTCAGATTGTGCTCAATGTACATGGCAATGGCTGCTAATGGGAAATGAGAGACAGGAGAATTCGGCTTTTACTTTCTTACGGCTTGCGCTTTGTATCTACTTCCCACCTTTAACCACCTCGAGTTCATTCATGGTATATACTAGTTCATTGTATTCACGGCACTGTAGCTCAACGCTCGCTAAACCTTTCTAGAACTAAAGAGGTTACACCCAGCGAGTATAACATAGCAACCCTTTCATGTCAAATAGGGATCAATGTACATGCCAATGGCTTCTAATAGGGATCGCAGCGTGCGCGTTAACTAAAAGCCGAATGCTCCTGTCTCTCATTCCCCATTAGCAGTCATCGGCATGTACATTGAGCACTATTTTTTATTGTTCAACAACGCACAGAAGAAATCTCTCACTGGCACCACCTTGGAAGTGAAAATGTTATACTTTTTACATATTACAATGGCTACGAGGGACAAACGGGTGCCGCTATAAGGAGCTTCGCCCCTAAAACTGGTGCAGACGTTGCAATGCTCTCACAGGCGCACCCTGTTGCAAGTCTACGGTATGCATTAAACAGCATTCGTTCGACAGTTAGTAAAACGGTTGGCAAGATTGACATCGCAACACTTTTTGGCGGGGCCTGCGTTCATACTTTTCATGTCGATCTTTGCAGAAAAGACTGACATGAAAAGCAAAATGTATCCGCCATCGATCTCGTGCGAGATTTCGCGCGGCAGGTCGATTCCTTCTCTGTGGTGGTCTTACGGCCGGAGGGTTCCATAACAGGTTCCATTGTGGTTGTTGCATTGTTACTGATGGATGCCTCTATCTTATTACCCTGGTCTATTGGGAAAACGGACGGAAAGAAGCGAATAAAGATATTGGCTAAGTCTTCAACTTTTGTCAGGATACAACCCTCGTGTTCGATCTGCTCAATTCTTTTCTTTTTGTCACTGAAGTAATGCCAGAATTCGGATGGTGAACTTCTAAGGAAGTTCACAAGCGTATGGCCAAATAACTGTTTTTGGAATTCACAAGGACTTCTTTCAACATAAGTTTTATAGCTGCAACGTGCGTTGCCCTTTTTTTTTTCTTTTGCTTAATGTTTCAATTCGCTGTTTTATATATGTATAATGCTGCGTTTTAATGACTCATATGTTTAATACTAGTTTTAATGACTAAAGCAACATTTTCTGGTCGGATATGCCATCTAAAATATTTAAAACATGGTCTGTTATGTTTTGGGACAAGAACATGAGGTCTAATAATTACTTTGACGAACCTGTAACCCTCGTTGGTTCATGCACAATTTGTTTCAGGCCATGGCAGAATTTA